TTCCTTAATGGTTCTATTTCCACTCCTAACTCCCAGGACTCTACTTGCTCTGCTTGGGAACGTTGTAACACTCTATCAATGTCTTGGTTGCTCAACTCATTGTCCCCATCCATTGCTCAAAGTGTTATTTTCCTTGAGAAAGCTATCGACATATGGAACGACCTCAAGGAACAATTTTCCCAAAGCGATCTGCTCCGCATAACCGAGCTTCAAGAGGAGATTTATGTTTTCAAACAAAACAGCCTCCCTGTTTCTGAGTATTTCATAGGTTTGAAATCAGTCTGGGAAGAGCTTGACAACTATCGTCCATTCCCTGATTGCACATGCTCTGCCAAAGAATATCACTCCCAAGACTTCATTATTTGTTTTCTCAAAGGTTTGGACAAACGTTTTGTTGTTGTTCGCTCTCAAGTGCTCCTCATGGACCTATTACCTTCTGTCAACCATGTTTTTTCCATGGTCGAACGATATTTACTTAAAAATTATCTCAGTTACTTCTGTCCTGTGGAAAACATCAAGCACACGTAGATCATAGCTTGTTTCTCAAACTCACAAATTCAGATATCATTGTTTTGCTCATTTACGTAGATAACATTGTACTGACGGGTAATTCTGTTTCTGAAATCAATTTTATAAAACACACTTTGAGTTCTCACTTCCATATTAAGGACCTTGGCCTTTTGAAATACTTTTTGCGAATCGAAGTTGCTCATTGTGCTGCAGGCATTTCCTTATGTCAACGAAAGTCTTGTTTGGATCTTCTTCAGGATTCTGGCATGCTTGGTTCCAAGCCCATTTCCACTCCCATGGATTGTTCCCTTCGCTTACACCAAGACAACTCTGATCCTCTTCCAGAACTCCTCATTTACTTGACTAGCACTCGTCCCGACATCACCTTTGCCACTCAACAACTGAGCTAATTCATGGCTAAATCAACGAATTCATGACTAAATCAACTCAGGTGCATTATCGTGCTACTATGCGAGTGTTGCGTTATCTGAAATTCAGTCCTGGAAAAGGGTTAATGTTCCCTCGCAATTCCCCACTTCAGCTTCTTGGGTTCTCTGACGCTGACTGGGCCACTTGTGTCACTACCCGTCGATCTGTTACAGGGTACTGCTTTTTTCTGGGGAACTCCTTAATATCATGGAGGACGAAGAAACAATCAACAGTATCTCATTATTTTTCTGAGGCCGAATATCGTATATTAGCTGCTGCAACCTGTGAGCTTCAATGACTCACTTATCTTCTTCAGAATTTGCGTATCTCTGGCTTAAGGCAATCTGTTCTATATTGTGATAACCAGAGCACCCTTCACATTGTTGCCAACCTGGTGTTTCACGAGCGCACTAAACTGTTAGACAAATGGCATTTAGAGGGGAGGGTGAATAGATGCACAAATTAAAATAGATGTCAAATTAAAAATTTATTTGTGAGTCAATAATTTGTTTGAACACAGATAAAGCGGAAGCGATAATATAATCAGGAAAAGAGAAAGAGATAAGGGAAAGAGAAGAGCACACAGAGATTTATACTGGTTCGGGTATAGTCAACCCTACATCTAGTTTCCAGTCAACTCTTAACACAAGAGTGACTCCCAATTCACTATCTTTCAAATTCAGTTTACAAATTACAATCAACTCAGCAGAAGAACCAGTAAAAAGTAAACTAATTAAAAATACAATCACCTCCTTAGAAACTCACTAAGGATGAACACCTCCCTAGAATCCCACTAGGGATGAACACCTCCTCTGAACAAATCAAAGGATGAAAAAAAACATCTCCTTAGAATCCCACTAAGGATGTACACCTCCCTAGAATCACACTAGGGATGAAAACTTTCTTTGAGCAAATCAAAGGATGAAAACACCTCCTTAGAATCTCACTAAGGATGAACACCTCCCTAGAATCACACTAGGGATGAAAAACACCTCCTTTTCCATGAATACAAAAAGGATGAAGGTAATAAAATTAAGAACAGTCACACTAGGATAATGGAGAAAACAAATTGTAGAAGCCTATAGAATGCCAATCTCCAAGAACAAGTGTGATTAATAATGAAAGCATAGAAGGCAGTAGAGAAGAGGGTTTTCTCAGAAGGTGTAAAATATCTCTGTTGTCTTGCTCAGAATTCTTTTCTCAAAACTGATTGAATGTAAATTGTATTTTCGAATTCTTTAATTGTGTGTTTTTTATTTTTCATCAAAACTTAATTAAATAGAAAAATAACATCAGAAAATGGCCGTTGGACATTAATATTTTCATGAATAAAAATCAGGATATATTTAAAAACATTTATTCTTCAAAACAGATATATTTTTCAAATTTGAATTGTCATAATTGATTATGTTACCAGTATAATCAATTATGACAGAGAAAATCATTTTTCCATTTCTGATGCATCATAATTGATTATGATAGAGAAAAATATCATGTTATGAATTTTATATCACACTTGTGCTTTGGAGGCTTATGCATAATATTACTTCATCAACTTGTACCTCCATATCCAGTATTCTAAGACTCTATCTAGTCTTCAGAAATCATCTTGGGCTTGCTTGAATCATCATCTTTATCAAAAACATATCTTTGGCATGTAGGGAAATGTTTCACATTTTCACCAACGTCTTAAATTCAGTGTGTCCTTAATTCATCTTGAATGGTGTTGACTTGAATATAGTTGGCTTGAATCATCATCAAAATCATCTCTTGGGAATGTATACATTTCCATCAATCTCCCCCTTATTGCTTTCATAAACATCTAGAGATAGATTGCCATATCGTTCGTGAGAAATTGCAATACGATCTTATGCGTCTTCTTCCTATTCGTTCCTCCAATCAACTGGCAGATATCTTTACCAAGGTCTTGCCTCCTACTCTCTTTTTTCTTCAAAATTTATCCAAGTTGGAGTTAGTTAACATTTTCCTACCTTCATCTTGTGGGGGTGGGGGGTAGGGGGTGTAACAGAATACAAGCCCAACTCAGCCCAAATACAAAATGAAGAGAGGCCCCATCTAATAGCTTGCACAACAAAATTACCTACATCTTCCTAAGAATGCTCTAGAATTTTATTAGCTGTCATTTACTGTAATGTACTATTTTTATTCTTTTATCGTTATCCTAACGAATACCTTATATATATATATATATATATATATATATATATATATATATATATATATATATATAGTGACAGATCTTTTTGGGAAGCTGAGGGGGCAGTGACCCCCAAAGTTTTGTAACTCCCATGTAATTTATGATTTTAGCCCCCTTAAACTTATTGAACATTTAATATATTTACTTGTATATTTACAATTTTATTCTCCCAGCCTCTCCTCAGTTTTGTAACTCTCATATAATTTATGATTTTGTTCCCCTCAAACTTAATGATCATTTAATATATTTAAGTATATATCACCAATTTTATCATTTCACCCTTTTATCTTCCTTTTTTCTTTTATATTATTTATTATTTATTAATAATATATTATTTAGCCTCTCCAAAATTAATGGTCAAGATCTATACTAATATATATATATATATATATATATATATATATATATATATATATATATATATATATATATATATATATATATGCATTGTACATTATGAAACATACACTGAATTTCATTCAGCCTTGTCCTTTTTTGTTTCTTTCGTTATATCATCTTTTAGAGGTGGTGGCGGCGTTGTAGGTGAAGCAGGTGAGGATGGAGTTGTCCATATAGAAGTTGTAATCTGAATATATTATGTCTTTATGTTTTGACTGGTATTCCAAGTATACCAGGAAGAGAAAACCGACACTGATAATTAATACCCATAAACACTTTGATAAGAGACCGTTTTTAGAGATGACTAAACAAGGGGAAGGGGGGAGAAGAGAGTGAAGATTCCACAGTGAAGAGGAAGAAAGAGAAAGTGAATAAGAGTTTGTGATAATGTTTCTCACTGCATGTGTTTACAAATAGTTTTTATCTGATAAGATTATACCAGAAAACGTAGAAGAATTAAATTTAAAATTTAAAATAAAGTAAAGTGATTTTTTAAATATTACTTTTAAACGGAGTTAAAATGATTTTTAAATTTCTAAACAAAATTTTACATGTTCGTGTTGAAATATATAAAAAAAATGTTTTTTTTTTTAATTTGGATTTTATCTTAGAAAAGTATATTTTAGTTTTAAGAGTGATTATCTCATTTTGTTATGACGAATAAAAATTGAGAAGTCATTTTTAAAAGAATATGATTTTTGCAAAGTTGATAATCTCTTACAAGATCGAGTTTAATTCAAGTATGTAGTCCAACACTTGATCACGGGTATGTTCACACTTTTTTATTCGAGTTTTGATTAGTGTATATGAAAAAGACACTTGACACTTAAGTTAGATAAGGGTATTAGTATATAAAATATTTGTAATCAATCGTACCATGGAATCCACATCTATTTACACTACCTTGGTTGAGATTAATTAATAAGCTTTAGCTTCTTGGCCTCTCACTTAGATATCTTTGGCGGCCACTCTAAGATGAGAAAACCTATCCTCATGGCTAGAGTACACGTGGCTAGGCCTATAATTTATAGGCCTTCTTGGTTGTATTTGCACAGTACACTGGTCCCAAGTTTGAGAGAGCTATTAGTGATGGAGACATTTTGAAAAATAAAATTTCCATTCTTTGCCCGAGATCTTACTGGTCCATCCCTCCTACCTATCGACCTACCAAGCGGGAGGAGACAAGGTGACGAAAAGGCCAAGGGGATGGGCCAAATACATATTGGCCTTGACACAAGTTTCTAAGATGTTATGATATGTGATGTTTCTGCAATTAGGTTTGACCATTAGATTAATGGTGTTGGAGGGTTGTGATGGTTCAATGTTTTGATTTTCACGTAAGTTTGTCTTAGAAATAAGAGATTGGTCCTATTCATTGTGATCACAAGTTGTGTTGCTCTGTCTTTTGAGAGTGAATTTAATGTTAAGTTGTCATTAGGTAAGAATGTCTTCTAGTTCCTTTTATGCTGCGGCTGATGATCTTTCGGGTGGGGTTACTGGTATTACTCAAGAGGTTGCTGATGGTTATGTGGGTTGTGCCAAGGGGGACGATGATAACCTTTCAGAGGTGGATGATGATGCTCAAATTGTTGTAGAGTAGGACGAAACTAGGTTGCCCTTAAGGGAAGGTTATTCTTGGATTGATCCTTGTGTGAAGAGTTATTTTTCAAAGTACCGATAGTCTATTAACCTCTTTTGCCACAATTCAACGTATGGTTAAGGGGAGTTGGGGTGTCTTTGAGTAGATGTAGTGCTATTGATAATGTGAGTCGTGACTGTGAAGGGTGGCCTAAAGACTTCTTCTATATGTACTCTTGTCTTGTTAAAGACTTGCATGCATGATTTATGTTTGACAAGTTCACCATGGGTGTATTACAAGTGCTAAACGTGCACGTGGCACCAACCTAGCTACATCCTAATAGTTAGGCTATTTTGTAAGCATTTAGGTTCGTGTGGGAGACTTTACATTCTCAACCCATTCTACCAATATTCCATCATCATTTTAGCACTCGACCAGGTAGTTGTGTTGGTTGGCTATCCCTTATAGGCTAACCATCCAATGCGTTGTTCGAATCACACACATCATCTTTCAAGAACTTCAAGACGAGTTTTTTTAAGGTACAAGTGGAAGAGGACGAATGTTGTTATTTTTATGATAGTAAAGGGACCAAGTTACCTATTTATTGGACTTGTGATCCAATCAGACATCATCATTGGCTGCGAACCGAGATGTCTTTAGTGGATATCTGAACACTCGATGTTCTTGATAAGCTTCTTCAATGACTTCCAACCTGAAAGCTTCTCACTGTGTATTTATCTCTGTAATGTTAGAGTGATATTTTTGGTATGGTATTATTCTTTATTTTTACATGGTTTCGCTCGTTATTAATTGTGTTAAATTTTTTATTTTAACGTAGATATCATGGATGCTGCTTTTCTGACAAAGAAGGGGTAGTTTTGGCAATTGAGGTAGGAGAACGCTCCTTTGGCCGACAAAAGAAAGGGTGTTTCCGGGAAGGCTTTGACAAGGAAGGAGGTATCATCTAATTGACTTCCCCCGTCACTGATGATAGGCAAAAACATATGCAACAAGAGGGAAAACGTCATATTGGGTAGAATTTAGGCCAAGAGCATTCGTCGAAACACTCTTGTTTGCAAGGAAGAGAAGTTTATTATAACTTATTTTAGGGGGTGACTTACAAGTGTCCACCAAGGTGAATATTGCCTTAATGTCCATAGAGAGATCCAAGTTTTCGCTCAACTAGTCGAGTTAGAGAAAACATTTATGGAATTGTAGATACATGCATTACTTATCGACAAGCGCATGTGTGATAATTTGGTGGTCATAGGGGGTTTGGAGCTTCAGAATTTAAAGCGAGAATTGGCCGAGTCGAAGGATGCACTCAAGGGTACTTTGGAATCCAACATTGAACGAAAAAATAAAAGAGCTTGAAGAGAAGTTGGCGACCACAACGATCAAACGTGTCGAGTGGCTAACCAAGTATCTTCATGCCGAGAAGTAGGAAGAAATTTTGTGAAGCCAACAAAATTTGGTGGAGCATACGTTGGATGAAATGACCTTATAGCTTGAGATGAGGAGTTGGAGAGAAGGAAAACTACCAAAAAGGGCATGGTGAAGTTGAAGCAATATGTTATGGGTGAACATATTTAAGAAAGCTTTTTGGCATGCCAACCTTTTCAAACACCGTTGACCGACGAACGATTAAATGTTTGAAACAAGATATCTATTTGTGGAATTTTAAAAAATGAAGGTAGGTAGTTTTTATCTTCTATTACTAAATGTTGGATCTTTCGAGGGGGATTTACAGGGGAGAACAACACTAATGAGACATGAGTCCAACCCACATAAGGATTAACAACATTCTCAACTTGGATTCCTAAAAATCTTTTCCTCAAGTGTGAATTCCTTCACATTGGTACATCCATTCAAGCTCATTAGTGGTTCTTCCATGTATCATCGTTCACCCTAACAGAACACGTTTACCTGACCTACTCTATCAGAAAGACTTTCGATACAAAGACTATTCTGACCCACTGCCGATCAACTTTCGATTCTGATACCACTTATTAAGTATTTCGAGGAGGGATTCAAAGAGGAGAACAAAATCAATGAGACATGAGTCCAACCCACATAAAGATTGACATCACTCTCAATCCAAAATCTTAAGACAATTTTTTGCTCTGATATACCACTTAGTGAGTCTTTTAAGGGGGGATTTATAGGGAAGAACAACACCAATGAGACATGAGTCACATAAGGATTGATATCACTCTCAACCCAAAACCTTAAGATATTAGGTTATGGGTCATACTATCGGCTCTGGTACCACTTATTGGATCTTTCGAGAGGGATTCACAGGGTAGAACAACACCAATATGAGACATGAATTCAACCCACATAAAGATTGTCATTACTATCAACCCAAAACCTTAAGACATTATGTTATGAGTCATACTTCCTTATATGTTGTTCAACTTTTTTATTTTTAGTCGATGTAAGACTTAAAATCATACTTGGATTACCCACCACTAAGAAATTCCTCAAATGAATAAGTTACAATTAAGTGACACGAATTTAAATTTTTGAATCTTGATTTTTCGAGGTGGAACTGAAAAAAAACTATTTTCGTTTTTCGCTACCATCTTATATATCTAGGATTTTTTTTCTTTTACCTTAATTAATATATATATATATATATATATATATATATATATATATTTATAAAACCTTTTTCAGAATTTCTATTGGTATTTTTATTTTAATTCCTTTTGGATTTCTTGCAGTATTATTTTATTATTTACACAGTATACATATATTTCTTTTAATAAAATATATTATGTTTTTATTTTCTTGTTTTAAACTCAAACATTTTCAACAATATATGAGCAAGATCTAGTCATATTAATGAAAAACTGATTAAAAAATTCATTAAAGATCGTACAATTTTCCAACCTTATTAATCATAACAATTCCTGTATTTCATAATAACAAGAACTTAAATCACTTTCCTAATTTTTCTCGTAGTTGAGCGTTTGTGTAGCTCCTTACACTAAATTATTAGGAAAGTGATTTAAATTGATGTTTTATAACAAAATTTTTTCAATTATTAATTAATGACAAACATATTTATTAATTATCATTTATATATAGAAATAAAACTATAATTTTTATTAATTTTTTAAAATATTTGATAATTTTTTTTGTAAAGTGTCTAATAATATTACTTCTAAAATAAATAGAAGTATTGATATTACATAGGTAATAGGTTTGAATACTTCGTTAATACGTACCAGTGAAATATCCGTAAAGTATAAGATACGATACGTATCGGATTGAATATGTGGATCGAATATATGAAACAAGTTGAAGCATCGGTGTGTCGTACAATTCATGAAAAAGGGGTACAAAATAATCACAGTAACACGTTTATAGTGATTTCAAAATATTTTTCATGGAAAAGATTTAAACCCTACAATTTCTCTACATGCCAAAAATTTGCTTTCATAAGATCTCAACTCTAACGCGCAGCTTTCAAACCTCAAAACTTATATGGGAAACAAAAATTACATTAATTGGAAGAAGTATATAAACTACATTTCTTATTGAAAAAGTTAAATTTCAGTAAATGTAAGATGTTGTGTTTTAATCATCGATCCCATTACACCTGACATAATGATGAATCGGAAGTTGCAAATCACAAAGAAGCTCCTCAGGAGTTCTCATCTTGGGTGGCCATAGATTAAGAGTGAGGTTGTAAAATCCGGACATGTTATCGTAGTTCACCTTTGAAAGCTGGACATGGGTGAGCATGATATAACGCTCACCGTCAAAACGCAATCTCAACCCATTGAAATCCTGAATTAGGGTTTCAACGGGGTGAGATGCGAACGTGATATTATGGTAGGAGACGGCGGCACTCAAGTAGTCGATGGTGGCGTGTTCGGCGGGGATGGCGACCTCGACGGTGAGATTGTAGTGGAGGGTGTTGGTGGTGTTGTTGTAGGTGAGGCGAGTGAGGAAAGCGTTTCTCACGAAGAACCTCATGCGACTATCAAGAGTGGCACGCATGTCTTCTTCATTGTATTCGAGGAGGAAATATCCAGCGACAAGAACAATCATGGTGGCTATGAAAGCCCAGACATGCTTTGACGTGATGCATTGTAGCATGAATGTGCCTTCATGTGACATGATGAAGTTTTTGATATGTTTGATTGAAAGAGAAGAAAAGAGAATGAGTGATTGGTTTAGGGTTTGGACAAGTTTTTGGAGAGATGGGAAGTTTGTTGGAATGAAGTTGTAATGTTAAGGAGTTTTATTAATGGTTTTAGTCTGATCAATTTTGAATAAAAAAATATTCAAAATATATAAATTCCATTCTCTTTTTTTTTTTATTATTTCAAATGGAATTTTAAATTTGGCTAAAATAGATTATAAAATTTAAATGTTTTATATTTTTTTAAAATTAAGAAAAAATTGAATTTAGCTTTTTAGTTTAGAAAAAAAGTGTACTCACGTAACACTTTTTAGTAGCATATTTATAAAAAAAATTTAAAATGTTTTGAAAGCAAATAGTCTTCTCAATTAAATTTTTAATTTAGAAATTAAACTTATTAAAATTACTATTTTATTACATTTATATTTATTTTGTATTATTATATGTGATTTTTTTTCCTTTTTATATAAAAGATATATATATATATATATATATATATATATATATATATATATTCTTTTTGGAAATCTGAATCAATAATAAAAATGTTGATATTAATTGGGTTAGGTTTAAACAAATCTATCATTCAATCCCAATCTTAAAAAAATTACTCGAGTTAGATTATTTTTTATATTTTTTTTTATGAATTTAGAATCAGGTAAATACAAAATTTAGAAGAATTACTAAAATTTGTAATTTTAATAAATATGTATACTTTTAGAATATATTTTAAAATAAAATTATAATACATAATATTTGAATAATTTAATAATTTAATATTCTAAACGTATATATTTAATTGATAAAATAATAAAACAAATTAAATAATAATTATATTATTATTAGATATTTAATAATTTTGGTTGAAATAGTTGGATTTCGAATTTAATTTATAATTTTCAGATAATTTAAAGATCCAATAAATTACTAATAGATACTCCTAATTTAACGTAATTTATATTTGCCTATAATTGAAAGACCCTTCATTAAATATATTTAAATTTTCTGATAAATATTAAAGAAGAATGTATAATAAAATTTCAACAAAGTTCATCCCTTACACACTATAAATCTTCCTAATATGAATAAGAGGATTAATTTAGTACCCTATTATTCTCTAAGAAATTAATAATTTAAGAACAAAAAATTTGAACAATAAAAGTTTGAATTTTTAAACCAACGGTAGTTAATTAAGGGAAAAAAAAATCTCAATTAGGCTTTCATCTGACTGAGAAGTTATTCTCAACGATGATGAGAAGAAGGTATATTTATATTTTTAGTAATTTATTTGTATTTTTTTATAAATATTAAAATAAATCATTAAATATATTAAATAAGAGAATATTTTATATTTTCGTTTATATATATATATATATGTGTGTGTGTGTGTGTGTGTTTATTAATAATGTAATATTTAATTTTAAAAATAATGGAGGTGGTGATCACATTGAAGATGAGATAAATTCTTTAGGTTTAGGGTTTGGTAAAAAGGATTTAGTTTAGAGTTTGATTTATAGTTTGGAGAAAATTGTTTAGAAGAGAGTTTTTGAAAATTAATTCAAAACAAATAATAAAAAATAATTTTTTTTTATTTACGTATTATTATAAACTTGATAATATATGTATAAATAAGAAGAAAATAAACAATGCACATTCTGAAATTGTTGCTAAATCAGTGAAGAACAATCTATTTAAAGCAAATAATCCATTTTCTGGTCACAATTATGCCTAAATTGTTATTATTATATAATCAAAATAAGAATGTGACCTATTTATAGGTTCTAATACACAAAAATATAAGATTTAGACCAAGACAAATTTACTAAATTTAATTTCATATCACAAATATAGGGCTCTATAGTGTCCTTCAAGTATGATTTTTCATATATTTTTTTTTTAGCTTTTTAGTTTCAAAATGATTTATCACAATTCCATGAACCTATAAAACTTTTTTACAAATAGTATAATTATTTTATATTTATTACTAGAAATTCTCATATTTTTTAGGAATTTTTTTACAAATTTTGTATAAGACACATGTGTAAATTATTTAAAATTAGAAGACACATAGTTAAAAACAATAGAAAGGGATTTTGAAAGTCACTGATAATATATATAGATTAAATCATTAACATTTTAAAAAGATAAACTAAATTAATTATTTTTATTGGTATATGTAGCTATTTAAAGGTCTTATATATGCAGTAAAATTTTCTAAATCTTTAATTGTTGAAAGAAGAAAAGAAGAACAAATGGAAGTCATTTTAAGGCAGGTGTAATTAAGGTTAAGCCTTAATTAACACTGTCTTTTACCTTCAATTTAGCATTCAATAATTTTGCTCATCAATTCAATTCACTGCAACATTTTTTCAATAATAGAAAGCAGTGGAGAGCAGAGACTCATGGTTTTGTCTCATGTTGATGATGACATGGTTAAATTAGAAAAATTATTATCAATAAATTTATTATATTATAAAAATATTATTTTATTAAATTTGGTTAAATATAGATTGAAGCTTTAAACCTTTAATCATTTCTTCCTATTTTAAAAACATTGAATAAATGTAGAATCCAAATTCCCTAAACAAACATATACATCCATTACTGATATATAATTTCTCAGACTTCTCATCCATGGCTCAAAAGATGGACCCCAAATGGAGGTTCTTGAAGCTCTTCATCCTCATCATTCTCTGCACCCTCCTCATAGGACTACTGATATTCATCTTTCTTTACTTTTTCCTCCACAAGGACAAGCCATGCGACGTTACCATCGTCACAGTTGCTACCCTCACCCAATTTCACTACCTCAGCAACAGCAACACTCTCTATTACAACCTCGTCCTCAACCTTACCATCTCCAACATTGCCTATGGCTATGACTTCATCGAAGCAGGTGCTTTCTACCAAGGTCTCATGTTCGCTTCCTCCATCGTCAAAACATACAGTGACGATGACTTCAACAAGCTGAATGCTGTTTTCCAAGGTCACCAACAAGGGTTGTCCCTCAGCACCGACCAAATTTCACAGGACAATGGGGTTTACCTTATCAGGCCTCAGGCTTAGGTACGACTTTTACCACCTCAACCCTATGGTTCGTTGTGACTTGCTTGTTCCTCTCAAATCATTCAAAGGGGTTGGTGCGTTTCATGCAACGCAGTGTGATTCGGTTCAAGATGGTGATGGCATTTGTTCTATTCTATAGAGTAGAATAATCACCTTTTGCAGCTTCAGCTTTATCTGAGCGCAGATCCTTTATATATGTATATGTTGGAGATTCCAATGACCAAAAATCTCATTAACCATTTTGGTTTCATGAGGTTGAGTTAATTATTGTTGAATTTTAATGACTATTAAAGCTTAGCATGTTCCTATGGCTTCTTAGCTTCTTATTTTGTTTGTATCAACAACTGTTTAATGGCCTTTAGCATTGATCTTATGCTAAGGTTTAAGCTATCTTATAATGTAAGTCATTTTGTTATGACGTTGGAGATTAAATTATGCAGCAAATTACATGCTTTATCAGTGTGATTGTGTTGATTCTACACTTGATGTATCCATTTCTTGACCTTTAACTTTTGAAGACATTGGAAGGGAAGAACCAGCAACCAATCCATGTATAGAGTACATATAGTGCCCCCTACAACCAACTAGATCTGTTACATTTTTTTTATTTTTAGGCTCAATTATTTTTTCAAATATCTTGAGTGTCAGATATGTGCTCTGGAGTCTTAAATTAGTATATGTAACTGCTATGTACATATGAAAAATTAACAATTCATACTTGCTCGTTTGAGTTTTCAGAAACTTATAGGAGAGAAAGGCAAGTAACGATTTTAAAGAAAATTACACAATCCACGTATCCGCTCATTTTTAAGTGGTGTTCCACCAAAAAAGTAATAGCCTATTGTTGCATCAGATTTGTAATACATATAAAAGTTACTACCAATTTTATATAGCTTCTAATATAATATAGAAGAGGGACTCTGCAATATTGCCTCACTTGCTTCAGACTAACTTTGCCTTGTTTTTTAAAACTTGAACACTTGCCAAGAGTTGCACAAGAAGAAATAAAAGAGACATGTACATTCATTTGCACCTATATACTCCTGGATGAGTGTAAATCGGAATACGTATGCAATAAATGATGGAAAAAATCATCGGAACAATTTCTATGTATAGATGAATAAGATTATTCCTGAGCCATGAATATGCGGACAAAATTGTAATTTGAAAATGATAGATTGATAGGACAAAATATGCTGACAAATATAATATTGAGCCTATAATAATATAATCCAAAACAAAAATGAAGCTGTTCTAATTTGAAGGTCTTGGCCAACATCCTTCAGCTAGATGGAAGCTGTTGAAATATTATTTTATCAAATCACTTTCAACACAGAAATTCATGGTGAAAATGTTCTTTAGAAACTTTGATTACACCGCGACAGATCAATGCCACGCAGTGGGGGGGGAAATAAACAAATACAGAAGGAAATGACTTGACACTACAGTACTGATCAGCCTGTAAGAGCAGAGTTGAGAGCGCTATGGACGTCAACACCAATCTGAGCTTCAGCTTTCTCCAAATCAGTGGAGGCTGAGTTGAGCTTCTGAGTGAAATCTTGAAGGCCCTTCTGGACAAGATTGACATCAATTCGATCTACTGGCACAGCCTCAACAGCTACTATATCAGCCACTGAGTTTCCATGGATGAATGCGAACCCACTGCTCACAAAATACTTTGTCACATCGTTCCCTTCATGTACGGAGAGCACACCAGGTTTCAACTCAGCAATTGTTGCCACATGTCCTGGCAGAACACCCATCTGCCCAGTTGTTGCTGGTACAATCACCATGTCAACCTATTCCACAAAAATTATCTCATTTGAAAAGTTTCCGATTCTAACAGCTATCAATTTCTTTTCTGGTATGGTATAGTGTGGCACTGCAATAATTCATGAAATATCCACTCCAATCGATGTGAACATGCTTTAATACCAAAAGAATTTGCATATGCCTAAAGGTTCTCTCAACCAAATGCCGCAGAGCTTTCTGCTCCACAAAATTGCTCTGCTACTTTATGATGACAAGTACAAGATAAATAATTGAGAATGATATAATTCACCTATAATCTGATTTGAAACCACCAAAAATGCACTTGGTGGAGAGTGGAAAATTACAGCTAACAACAACAATTCTGAATTCTCCGTTATTCAATCCGGTACAGTCAATGATATTGCAGGTTCTCATGTCAACTAAATGCAATCACATATACCATAAACTACTAAGACTATCTCATACAGCAATGTTACGCTTACATTACTTTCATTAGAATAGTCACACCCAGTTTAATCAGACACCTCAAAATTCACTTTTGAAAAATACTAGAGTTCTTGGGAATGTAGATTATTTAAAATTTAAAATTCATATAACTTTCCCACAGTAATTAAAAGGACACATTGACTTGAAATAAAAAATAAACATTACTTATATTATTAGAGATCATTATCTCATTCATCTGGAAGCCGGATTTTGTACGATGAAATCAATTATGTTTAGATTTCTCACTAATGGTTCTTGCGCATATTAATGTAACAAAGATCGATTACCCAAAATCAATCAATGGTAGGGATGACCAAATCTAATCACCTAGTTTTCCTGCATTTGACACCTAGCTCCCCATGTCAAAACACACACACTCACACAAACGGGATAGACAGGAATCTGTGCAACATATTACTTAGACTATACATTGTAATGGATGAGCAATGGAGTACACATTGATTTACAAAATCGATGTGTATCCAACCAAATAAAAGATACCAAAACAAGGTAAACTTAATAATCACACATACTCACACACAAAATCTCAACAGTAGAGACTCGATGTAATTTCCGGCTTACTACGATCTCAAAAAACATTAAGCGCATGTTTGGGAAAGTTCTTTCCAATCAATATCAGCTAATTGAAAAATGAGTCATTCATAAAACAAGATAGACAGAGGTTAGAGACATAACAGAAATTTAGTAAAAAAAAATAATCAGAAAAAAATGAATTGATTTTATGAATCTGAAAATTAGTAACTTTTGACCATTTTCAAAATTTTTTCCCTATCAGCTTCATACATACCTTTTTCCTCACATTAAACCTAAAATGAATTATGTTAAAACCACTTACATCAAACTCACAAGAAAAAAACGATTCTGATCATAATAGACTACAACAATAATCTATTATTGAAACATAATATTCTAATTTTCGCATTTGTCCCAAACACACCCTAAGCAAACAAAATAGTTTATTAATTTATTCATTTCCATCGATCAACCCAATGACCAACCTCGTTAAACCTAAACCTTCATCCCCAGATCAGCACGTGCAAAATGCAGAAACACACAAACGTAAACCGAAGCTTCCAGAGATTCAAAGAAAGAGAAGAGGCGTAACCTCTTTTGCGGACAATTGGGAAGCGTAGGGGAGGACGAAGTTGACGGTGAGTTTAGAAGGGAGGGTCGAAGGAATTGGCGGACGTGGCTTCATGAACGAGAGCGGGGTCTTCGGAGGCTCCAGATTCGGGCTCACTTTCTTCCAGGCCTCCGCAAAGCTCGAATCTGCCGCGGGCGTCGCCGGCACATCGGTGGAGAGGCGGCGGCGGGAGGCACCGGAGAGTAGGGCGGAGGTTGCGCGGCGGAGCATCGCGAGATTAGGGTCGGATCGCTCGGTCTCGCTAGGTCGGAGATAGAGAGAGAATGAAGGAGAGTATAGAGAGAGACAGAGAGTGAGAAGGGTGAAATTTGAAGAGAGGAATGGGTTAACTTCTGTTTGGACTCTGGAGCAACTATCGGCGTGTGAGAGTTTTGGGCTTACTGAAACATTGGGCTTTCACACAGCCCAATAATCAAGCCTCTTTCTTCCTGCACTCCCCTATTTAGTACAAAAGATAATATCACCTTTATTTCAAAATGTTTTGTAAATTTATAATAAAAAAAATCAATTTACAGAAGAATTTCACCTAAAATATCATCAATTTTTTTTGTGTTATTGTGTCTTTACAATGTCAAGAATTCAACATCATCACCAAAACACACATATAACCTTAAACTGAATGAAGAAATAATACCATGAAAAACAAGTCTCTAAACTTGAATATGAAGATTTTTTGTCATGACTTTATTTATTCAGTGTAGCTGTGTAGCCAATACAAATATTTCTAGGGAGTTTCTAATTCCATATCAATACACATTTCCTCAACTTCACCAAAGGCTAATAATAATCTATTCTCCAATTCTATTTCTCTTCCACAATCAGAAAACACTGTACCCTTCACCTGACTCAGAGCATTGCTACTTGCACCTTCCTCATCTGCATCATCAACATTATCAAATGGAATATCGTCAAATATGCTTAAAACATCCCCAGGTGCATGTAAGCCAGGGTAATCCAGGTAACAGTCATGATTCTCCTCCATAAGATAATTCTTCACATGCACATCATATTTCTCTTTGATGTGGCCATGCTTTTGAGCAATTTTCCTGTGCTTGATGGTCCAGTCAGGGTGACTCCAAAGGTAGAGTGGTGGTGGCTTCAAGTTCCAGTCTTCTAATTGCTTGTCGCGTGTATCGACAGAACCAGGTAGATAAAATGACTGGAACAAGGGAAACAAAATGCAAGACTTTTATGTCTCTTGTTTTTGTTGCACAATCTTGGGGTTGAAATCACTGAACTTTTGCTAACTCACCTTTCCTGAGAACATCTCATCATTCTCCCAAATTAAATCATATCCACCTTTCTTTCTGTCTAGTCTGGTAACATAGTAGAGGGATGATTTTGTTCTGATTCCATTAAAAAAAACAAGATGAAATAATACTAACCTTTTAGTTACTTTTGGTACAATAAGTATAAGAAGTTTTGGCTTGAATGTCAATGCCTTGTTTATAAATTTGTTAGCAAGACAACCCTTCACCCCAAAAGGAGGATTCAGCCCTATGATCTAGTAAAATATCAACAGTGAAAGGAAAAAAATATTAATGAATTTATTAAAAATTGAAGTATTCATGTGTCCATATAAATTATGAAGTAAAAGCTTTAGAGTCCTACAAGTTTAGAACCGTTGGGTAATTCTTCTGCATTGACAGTCATCCAATCTCTCTTTTCAAAGTTGAAATCATTCTACAAGCAGCAGAACTTCATTAGCAATAAAAGGCAAAATTTGCATCAGGGAAAAATAAGAAAGAAAGGACAATTAAAAACAAATCAATTATACATTACAGTTTTAAATTTGAAGCAGCAGGCAAACAAAAACAGAAGCAAAAACTATGCCATGCATAACTTCATTAGAGCAACATAAATAAAGACTTACCTTGGGTTGGAATAAATCATAGTTCTTAAACGAACATGACTTCCCCATCTGTTCAAGCTTTGATTTCATTAGACAACTGAAGTCATTAGAACCACAACAGAAGTCCAAAACCTGGCAAGGATAACACAGAAGTATGGATGATGCAAGTTAGTCAACACAACTGTTAAATCCAGTAGAAATTGTCATCAGCTATCACTCACGAATGAAGATTAAAAGAATTTGTCATCTCTCAAATTTTATCAGCTTGAGAAGTTCCACAAAATTGAATGCTATAAAATTTGATTCCAATAATTTATTCCAAAACTAGAGGAAGTTACATGGAGGACAACCACTGAACCACATACCATGTCTCCATTCTGAACATACCAATGAAGCCTATTAACAACCTGCATTAGGGAGTTCTTACTTTAGCTTTACTAAGAAGAGTATTGAAAAGTAAAATACAGGGAAGTTTATCATTTAAGTTACTTGTAGCATTGTAATTCATAAAATCATTACTTAGATTAGTTATCCCTGAGGCTAAAACAGACACCAAGTTGTTTTCAAAAAGTCGAGCAGCATCATTCTTAGAGAATAATTACAAGATAGAATTGACTTATCTGTAACTCTTATCGGTTAGTGTAGATATGGACAAATATGATGAAATGTGCATGCACCGTGCGCGCACACGTACACAAGTATTATAATTAATGACCAATTATCCTTCATACCTAAAGCATAAGAGCCAAACAAATGAAAAAAAAATAATAATAATGTATTTACCTCCTTCAGTTTGTCTATTTTAGTGAAATGGCGACCAAAGGAAGTATATCGCATGCCATGAAGAAAAGGTGCAAGATAAACCTTGAGCTGCTTCTGCAAGTGCATTAATAATCAGACAATTTTCCATCAAATAACAGTCATTCAGAGATGGATAAGTTTTTCCATACAGGTATAAGTGAACTCTGTATTGCCACAAAATAGTGTTTGCATCAGTTGCATGTGCAGAGCAAAGCAAATGTCACGAACATTGTTGAAATTTTAGGGAAATGGTGAATACAAATGTGCATAGCATACAACAAATTCCATTGAAGTGGTGTCAGCTGAATTGTGATTAAACTGGTGTTAACTAATTTTTATATTTTAATATTCAATGATATTTTAAGAAATCAATTTATAAAAAATATAAGTAGCTAAACTATGTTTTATAAGATAAAAATTAATAATAATTAGTAAAAAAAATGTACTATGTCTGTAATCCTTAAATCTGTGTTTTTATTTATCTTTAAAATGTTTTAAATTAAATTGAAGATAAAATTTAAAAAAGGAAAAAATTGGAAAAAAAGTTACCAATTTTAGGCTGGTTCTAAGAAGAGCTGGTTTTTGGACAGTCCAGCTTTTATGCTATGAGGAAATGTAGAAGAATTACTTTAACAAGAATGATGAAAAGGTATTTCAACCTGCCAAATAAAAAGCTGATGGAGGACCCCTGGATCACAAATTGCTTTTGCTTCTTCAATGCTACATCCTTCTTCTAACATCTGCAAAGCTGTTTGAATAGCCTGCAAGAAATCCAGAGATCCTTTAACTAGAAGAATAATAACTAATTGGGCACTTGAAATCAATACTGACTGCTACATTCAAGAGGGAAAAATAAGACAAACCTTAATTGATCCTTCTACTTTCCCTTGAGTAAGGTTCTTATGAAAGTCAGTTTCGGTTAAACCTGAAGTTGTAGAGAAGGCTTGATGATTCTTCATGAATTCTTCCTCATTAAATGTAGAAATGGTTTCTTTCATTAAATTCAAAATACTGCATAGACAGTGACGAATAAATGTAAACACCAGAACTTAAAAATCAATTTTTTTAATTAATCCAAGAAAAAAACAGAGACATATGACTTTGCGCATGAAGTACCTGTTTTCCATTTCAGCATTGTCAAAGTCAATGCATGTTCGGAATTTTTTTACAATAGGCTTTCCAGAGCCAGTTTTTTCAATTGTTCCACCAACCATTTTTTTCAGTAGAGATTTAGCTTCATGTAATCTTGAATCAGTGGACAAGTTAGCAACTTTCAAAGGTAACTTTTTTTCAGGACTTGGTAAGGAATGATTCAGCACAGGCACCTTTTTGACCTTCAAATATTTTCTGTCCTTATCAAATATGACTGATCCACTAGAGAAACGTATATCTTTCTTCCAACATATTTTCTCCACATCTTTGGCAACATCACCATCTTGAATACTAACATTTGCGACCCGATTTGGTACCAAGGTTTCCTTAAGAGGAAGATCATGAAAACTTTTACCCAAATTTATAGTATCTTTATCTTTGTCAAGTAATTTGTAATTGAGTACCTTCCTTTTGACTATCATATCAGGAAATACCAGATGGTCTCTAGCAGGAGTCCCAAGTTTGCTATCTATCTCATGATCCCTAAGGAACAATGGGTTGAAAACAAGTGTTAGGCCTCATGAGTACTACATTGAGAATTATGTGACTAACTGACAGGTGAGAAATATGGACTGTATAGGTCTCTGACAACCTTGTCTATGTGAAGAGTGAAGAAAAGGAGGGAATTTTCTGATAGTAAGCATGAAAGGGGTGTGAAGGAATGGTGGGGTATTCTGTGTGCCTGCAGAATTTCCCTTGTTATTTTTTATCTTCATTTTCTTTATGAAATCAATCTCAATAGAGGGCTACCTGTGCTAGGCTACTCAGGAGGCTTGTTGTTCCTTATTTCTCTACTTCTAAGTCCAAGTTCTTATCATATTAGAATACTTGTTTTTAATATCCAATCATTTAAACACTAACAACTTACATGCAATATATCAAAATTCGATGGTCAAGTAAACCATCCCAAGCCCTCTGCTCAATGCCCCTATCATAATCAGATGTGAAGGAAATTTCCCTGAATAGAAACAATGAGACATGTAGATGAAGGCATGGGCAAGAACAAAGAAGCATTATAAAGAGTGTTTTCATTTTAGCAAATAAAACATAAACATAATACTGTTGAAATGAATTCCTGTAACCATAACTAATTAATTAAAAGGAAAAGAAAAACCTACTTGGGTAAGCATTTTCTGTGGTAAGCTTTAGGGCAGCGTCTACATATTGCTAACTGCAAATGATGAACATTTTTAATTTCACCATTTTTACATAAAGAACACGTATGAAGAGGACAGACAAATGCTTTGCCAGTGGCAACTTTCTTTCTCACTTCCTCTTGTTCAGTGGGGATGCCAGGGGAGAGAAGCCTTGCTACACATTCAGGATGGTAGTAGTGACCGCAATTTGCAGTAACACAAGGAAAAACCTAAGAAGAAACAAACAATGAATGTTTTTGTGCATTTTACAAAGACTACAAAAGAAAAAAATAAATTAAAACTTAAAGAATATGAACAAAAGTTATAGTTGTGTAATGGTGCAAAACTAATCATTCAACCACAGTGGAATATGGAGAGAATATACATCCCATTGTTCCGATATTGAAAGGCCAGAAAACCAACGAAACAAAGGTTCTAAAAACTTTTATTACTTCTGCACCAAATAAAGATGAATATCTTCTGTCCACTAACTAATCAGAAAAAGAAAACGTATGCGGAAGGAAAATAATGACATGCATATTTGGATGTTATTCGTATGAAATGTTACTCGAGGCAGAGAAAGACAAACTAAATTGTATATAAAAGAAAAAGTGAAATATACCTCTGGTTTAGATGATACATCAGATGAACCCAAATTGCCACAAGCAAAGCACTGGTGCTGCTCATATTTACAATTTTGACAATAAAAGTTTGGAAAGGCCTGAAAAATTTTGATTTGGTTCTATCAAGTAAAAGTTGGAATTTTATTGAAAAATAATGCTGACTTTGAGTTAAGGAGTTTATTTGGGAAGGCAACCGGAGGGAAATGAAATGTGAGGAAAAGGGAAGAAAAAGAAAGATATTCATCATCACATTATTTGAACTGAATATATGCTAATACAAAATACTCAATTCTCATTAGTTTGGTAATTATTTCTAGAGAGGATAATTTATGTCTACCCAATTCTATCCCAAATTGGAGAGTAATAGAATTTATTCTCTTATAGAAGAGTGAGGAGAATTTGCTCACCTTTATTCTCCTTCCCTCCTAATTTTTTCATTTAAAGAAGATAATTCTTCAAAAAAGATTATAATATTACTTCCATCCTACTCTTTTGTTTCCCTTATTTCTCAAACTATACTTACCTGAACAGAGGATGGGAAAATATACTTACCTTAACTTGAGCACTGGTGTAGCCAAGAGATTCACAAAATGCATCTATACCAGCCTCTTTGGTTGCATGGAAGGATCTCAAACATCTTCCTTCACAGCTGATCATTAAAACAGAAAAAACATATTATGTAAGTAAAAATTCAGAAAGGTCTAGTTATTGATGAGTCTATTTTATGGTTATATGATAAAGACATACGGAAGTATTTCACCACCATTATCACATATTGAACAAACAGTATCATATCCAATATTTTGCTCTCCCTTGGGATTGTATTCACCATCAGATTGGACATTCTCCTTATCCTCTAATTCCACAATAAATTTTGGTCTCGTTGTAGGAAGAACATCCTGCTTATTAACCAAGTTAACATTGAACATGAAAGAACTTCAAAGATTATATGCAGATAAATGGGAAAAGAAACGGTCAATTTACATTGTACTCATGGAAGCCTTCATTTGACAATGCCTTTTTCATGAAATCATGCAGGTACTGTCCATTAAAATAAAAACTTGTGATGAATATCATTTTACAAGAACTCAAAGATCCATGGTGCAAGCTATACATAGAATAATGTACTTGGTATTCATCGTGGACAGATAGCTCAACAAGTAGTATATAATGTAATTCAGCATTGTAGTTTAGCAGATAAATGAAGTAGATGGTAAATCATTCATATTCATGTGAATTCATATTCAAGCTTATAAACAAACCTAGGATTGTACGAAATCAAAGGAGTGCACCTGGCAGCACTAGGTAATCACTTCACAACCTTTTCTTATGCCTTTTAAATAATATGGTAATTCCTTCACACAAGTGCAAATGGCAACCCAAAATTAGTGCTACTCAGCTAGAAGTCTGACATTTTATGGGATGAATTTTAAATATTTGTAGGTATCATCAAATTTATTGTGAATCTATTAGATTTTTTAAAATTGTAGCTAACTGGTGCAGGCATTGCTACCAGCAATGGCAAATAGCATGCTAATTACATCTCCAAACAATAAAACATAAAATCTCAATTAAGTGGGACAAAGACAAATAACTATAATATATATCAGTTTTTTCTGTCAACTGCATAGTTTATACAGATATCTAGTGCTTACATATGGGATAAGTGTATTGCTTATAATGTATTCTATTTCTAACAAAAATAATGCAGGACTTCGTACCTTGGATTTTGTTAAATCGTTGTCCCTTTTAACAGCTTCTCTCATCAAACTCACATGATTTAGAATATCATTCTCGGATGGCATAATATCAAATGCACTGCAAAATAGACATATCACTAACGAATTGAATGGAATATGGCATATAAGAAGTGTACAAAGGACAAAAGAAAATGCACACCTAAATGCCTTCTTCATTTTGTCCCAAACAGATATTCGAGATTCCTCTGGATTCCATTTCACAAAATGTAAGCAATATATAGTGACCAAGATTGTCCTAATTACACTTTCAAAACACTTTCTTGGTCTTTGCAAGGTTATCCAATTTTTGTCCTTTGAAAGCACCGAAATCTCAGGCTGCCCACAGGGAAGTTCAAATCTCCATCCTATGATCTGTTTGTAAATTTTCTGGAGGCCATCATCAGTGTTGCCACGCAAAAATACTTTTTCTCCCAAGTCACATTTGATCTCGCTGCTAATGCTCAACAATAATGTCAAACAAGAAAGTGACACAAGATCCTCCTTTTCATTTTCAAACCAATAACTATTAACAAGATCTGGGATAATTTCACCCTCTTCATCCGACGATGCCATATGTCCAAAAGCTGTCTATAAAAATTCTGTGATAGGAAACATAAGTTTTAGTAGTTCATCAGTTTCCATGCGCACAACTCACATACAAGAAGTAGACTAAGAACACACAAAAACTAGCATATATCATTCAGAATAAAATATTCAATTTACAGTTTTTAACCCTGTAAATGCAATCCATTTGTATTGACATGTCATTATAAAAGTGTATAAATTGTATTTGACATGATTTTAGAAAACTGGAATGCAGGAAAGAAAGGAATGGAACAAAAGGAATAAAAAAGACTAAACCTATAACTCCACTTGTTATTATCCAGGGTCCCATTGTCTCCATCTCATGTTGTTTCCCACCCATGTTAATTTGTTTATTATTTTTTGCATCATAAGCAATCAAAGGGTTTTCTCATTATTAATTTACCAACAAATACTCTATTGCTGAAAAAAAGTGGCGGAGATACATCAACATGCAGTACTAAAAACACCCATAATCCACAAAATCATAAAATTAAACCCAACCACCCAAAATACACTCTTTTACTTTCCACATTAGTTGTTGTCCTCGAGCATGGCACATGGATTTGCCCAAAGTACCTACCTCTACACTTGCATACAAAAAAAAAAAAAAAAACTCATTGCAAACTATTTCCCAACCTATGATTCTTTTCAAGTTCAGAGAGAGCACAAAGTGAAAAAGAAGTAAATGTTTTTCATATATATCATTTATGTATCTATACTGCGAGAACTTACAGATTTTAGAGTACAGAAAAATGTGGAAGTGTTGAGTGAGAGCACAGTTTTTCTCTGCTATTTGGTCTAAAAATTTGATCATGCTAAGAAGAAGAAGGAATATAAACGGTGGTTTTCAATTTTCCTTTGTTTGCATGAACACTGGTTTCATGTTCCCAACTCACACTGGTTTCATGTTAACTAGCAGTTTTCGAAGATCATGGTGATTCGGAAAAATGAAAATTTGAATTTTGGCCTGTTTTACATGCTTATTTATAGTGACAATTCTTATTCTAAATGGTTCATAATTTTTTAACTTTTTTTAGAAAAGAAAATTCTAAGAAGTTTTTACCATAATTTATTACACTTCACCAATTCTGTGAAATTTAAGTCCTACATATTATCGTGTTATCTACTAAAAAAACTATTATAACTTAAAAAATAATTTTATTTAATCTGAATAAAATTACTACTAGTTTACAAAACAGTAAAAAAAAATCACCTTGTATTGGATGATAACCACTTGAAATTTTGTTAGAATTTGATTTTAACATGTTTACGTGTGGCTAAAGTATGGGACATGAAAAGTTTTTCTAATTTCAAGCCACTATAATGATTGTATGTGTTTTTTATTGAGTTAAGTACATATTATTAACAAATTAATGAACAAAGTAGCCCATAATTAAGAAAATATTATGCATAATAGTTTTTCAAATACAAACATAATGTATGGTTTATTTTCTTTTAATTTAATTTCTAAAACTAACATTATCAAGTTATTTGATGCCTGATGTTATAAACCAATTTGTGTATTTAAAAAAATCATTAATTAAATTCATTTTTAAATAATGTATAATTATTATATATTAATTTATCTAAAAAATATTTTTTAACTTATATTGTTAACCTTATACATAAACTAATTTAATTTATGAAAACAAATTATTATTTTTTTCTATGAGAAATTAACACTCAAATCATAGATGAAAACTTAATACATCAACCAAGGGTCATCTCCTCTTGAATTCACCTCAATATTTATCTTGTGACCAAACTATTGATTTAAAACATATCATTATTATATTTTAATAATAATATTCTGGATACCTTTATATCAAAATATATTAAAAATGTTTTAACATCAAAACAATGAGGGAGAGATTGATGACAATGTAAAGCATGTCCCTACATTCCCAAGAGATGATTTTGGTGATGATTCAAGTCAACAACATTCAAGACTCAAGCAAGCCCAATATATGATTTTGATAAAGATTTTATTCAACATTCAAGCAAGCTCAAGATGATTCCCGAAGACTAGATAGAGTCTTAGAACACTGGATATGGAGGTACAAGTTGATGAAGTAATATTATGCATAAGTCTCCAAAGCACAAGTGTGATAAAATTCATAACATGATATTTTTTACTGTCATAATCAATTATGATGCATCGGAATGGAAAAAATGATTTTTTCTGTCATAATTTATTATACTGGTAACATAATCAATTATGATAATTCAAATTTGAAAAATATATTTATTTTGAAGAATAAATATTTTTGAATATATCCTGATTTTTATTTACAAAAATATTAATGTTCAACGACCATTTTCCGATGCTATTTTTCTATTTAATTAAGTTTTGATGAAAAATAAAACACACACAATTACGGAATTTGAAAATACAATTTACATTCAATCAGTTTTGAAAAAAGAATTATGAGCAAGGCAAAAGAGATATTTTACACCTTCTGAGAAAACTCTTTTCTCTACTGTCTTCTGTGCTTTCATTGTTAATCACACTTGTTCTTGGAGATTGACATTCTACAGACTTCTACAATTTGTTGTCTCTATTACCCAGGTGTGACTGTTATTATCTTACTCCTTCATCCTTTGTGGGTTTAAGAGGTGTTTGCATCCCTTTGATTTGTTCAGGAAGGTGTTCATCCCTAGTGTGATTCTAGAGAGGTGTTCATCCTTAGTGGGAGTTTAAGGATGTGTTTTTCATCCTTTGATTTGTTCAGAGAAGGTGTTCATCTCTAGTGAGATTCTTAGGAGGTGTTCATCCTTAGTGAGTTTCTAAGGAGGTGATTGTCTTTTCAATTAATTTACTTTTTACTGATTCTTGTGCTGAGTTGATTGTAATTTGTAAACTGAATTTGAATTGAGAGTCACTCTTGTATTAAGAGTTGACTGAGAACTGGATGTAGGGTTGACTATACCCGAATTAGTATAAATCACTGTGTGTTCTTCTCTTTCCCTTATCTCTTTCTCTTTTTCTGATTATATTATCGTTCCCACTTTATCTGTATTCAAACAAATTATTGACTCACAAATAAATTTTTAATTTGACATCTATTAAAATTTGTGCATTTATTCACCCCCTCTAGATGTCATTTGTCTAACAAAACATATATAAAATAAAATGAGATAACAATAAATAATTAATAGATAAGTCAATAATTAAGTATTATAAGTTAATGCTTAAAACATTAACATTAACTAAATCAAGTATTTTTGTTTTTATATCATAGCTTAGATTTTAGTTTCCTTCTCCGTGTTGTCTCCATAATTTCTTCACGCAACTTTTAATCTATGTAAAATGATCAAAATATTTTTTTTTATTGAATATTTTTTGTACTGATTTTTGTTTGAAACCCAGCGTTTTTTTCTCTACACATTCGTATCTCCTCTACGGTAAATTCTTCCATCTTTGTGTCGTTGTCCTTCCACCTCCGTTAAATATCATTTTCAGTTCATAAGATTAAAAATTATTAATATTTTGTACCTTTAATTCAATACCCGTTTCAATATCCATGAAAACTAAACTCAATATACATAAGACTCTAGACTTCTTAATTTGGAATGTATTTCTAGATCCGAAAATAAGTTTAGGAACAATTAATTTAGGATGTATATCTAGAATACTTAATTCAGAAATACATTCCTGATAATTATTATTCTGGAACTCATTTATGGATTGAATATTTCCAAAATAGATTTTAGATTAATTGTTTTAAAACTCATTTATAGATTGGATATTCTAAAAATGTATTTCAGATTAGATATTTTAGAAATGAGTTCCATAAAACTAATCCGAACTATATTTTTGGAAAAGTAAATCTGTATTTCTAAAACATCCAATCTAATTTCAAATGCATTTATTTATTTAAGAAGGTAGACATAAAGATAAAATATGATTTATTTTAATTATGAGATTGTAAGAAAATATTATGGAGGTGATGGAAGAATCAGTCAGATTTTATTTTACAAGACAAAATGTTCGCAGTGTTCTTTTAGCAATAACCCATTTTTTGTTCTCCCTCAGGTTAAATCCATAAATAAGAAGAAAAAAAAAACTCATTTTCCTCATAATTGATGAGTTTTGCTTTGTGCCTACCTTAATACATTATGAGATTGAATTTCATCACTAACAAGTTCTCATAATTTCTCTTGTTGAACTTTAATAAGCCAAAACTAAAATTTCTTCAAATCACTCTCCGTAAACAATTGCAGATTAAATTTTTCACGAGATATGTTGTCTCAGGCTTTTTACAAGATCAGTCATGGTCGTGCAGTATTTTTCTCCCATCTGCAACAAAGTTAAGGTAATTCAGAATGTAAAATTATTATGTACTGTTATATTCTCACACTAATATTTCACTTGAACTTTTATATTCTTAATATCTGAGTTTACCTTTAGTACAGTGAAGCAACAATGTTAACATCATTTTTCATGATCAAAATGTTGATTAATGTTTTGGAAAATGTAATCTGTGATTACCTGGGCAATGACTGTAACTTTGAGAGTGGAAGTCCCAAAGGGCAACACACTGCTGCTAACAAGAGAGAGATGATGATTTTGGAGGAAGGCCATGATTTTGAGCACAATGTCCTTCTGTATGTGGCAGTGGATTCCAATGAGAACCTCCTTTTCCATCACTCTTGCTTCAACCTGAGGTAGTGAAGGTGTTGATCTATGAGACTTGGTTTCATCATATGATGTGATGATTTGTTCTTCTCTTGAGCACACTTGGAAATATTTCTTGACCAATATTCTTGAATCTGCTGTTTTTCTCTTGTTCTGATTCTCAAGCTCCTTCACTCTCTCTTGAAGTTGTTTCATGTATATGATTGCTTCTCTAAGTACATAGGCCTTGTCTGTCTAATAATCCATGTTTATAAAGTTATGTAAAGTTTACTCATACGTGTTATATGCAATGCTCTTTCTTTTCAGTCTCACTCCTTCACAGATAACTGTTTTAAATATAAGAACTATATAATTTTAATTTCTAAATTTATAAAAAGACTTTAATAGTTTAGAATCAACCTATCAAAAGTTAAAAACAATTTGAAAAAAGAAAAAGAAAAAAGAAAAAGAGTGTCCTGGATGAACAGATATATGCAGAAAGCTTTGCAGAAAAGGAAGAAAAAGTGCAGCAAAGCTTGCAGGAAATTGTGGTCTGAAAAAGGGACCCTGCTTTCACTGCAAGCAAAGCTTTTTTCTTTTACAACTTCTCTTTCTACCTTCTTATTTGAAAGTCCTCTACATATACATATACATGCACTTCTATCATTCAAATATTAAATAATTTACATGTACTACAAACAAAACATGATATATATATATAATGAACCTTCTTTTAAAAAATGTTTTTATAATACTCTTTTTAATGTAAATTTTGTTATTTTTGTTATTTTCATTTTTAAAATTAAAATTATTAATAAGTGTTATTTTATCTATCTTAAAATTATTATTACAAATAAAATAGTGATTTCAAATTTAAAAATTTAGAAAAACATTATTCAAAACTAAAATTTGTTTATTTATGAAAATTAAAATTAATGATTTCAAATTTGACATGAATAAAAATAAATAAATCAAAACTATCTTATATATATATATATATATATATATATATATATATATATATAGCTAAAAAAATTATTTAAATTTATTAAAATTGATAAAGTGGTATACATTTCTTTTTCATATTTTTATGTGTATGCATGTAATTAATTGTATTGGCACATACAATAACTTTTGAAGAGAAGAGGATGAAAAAGGGTTGAGTTTAGTATCAATAGAAATATTGAAAAAATAGTAATTTTATTTTTCAAAATTGTCTTTCAATAATAACCATCAACTTCATTCTTTTTACCTCTCCCATGTCATCCTCATATTACTAAAATTCACCATGATTTTCTGTTTTACTACATAGACTATCGTGAGATATTTGGTTATTTTTAAAAGTTATATAATCAATAATAAGTCTTGCATAAGTAATTATGAATCTTATAAAATTAGTTATATTTTAAATATTACTACTTGTTTTCATATCTTAGGTTTACTTAATTAATTATATTTTTATCTTAATTTATATGTGAATTAGTTTTACATAAGAGCATATTTAATCTATTTTCATTATTACGAATTATTCTATCTTAGAAAGAAAATGTCTTAGAAAGAAAATAACTCAGTATGTTTAGGTCATATTTATTATGATAGGATTGTTATAATTTATTATTACATTTGAAATATTATCTGTTTTAAAATTTTAATTCATTCTAATTTTATTTTTAAAAGATATATTGATGAATTTAATAAAGATAATATTTGTCAAGTATTTATTTAAAAAAATATTTACGGGTATCTATAGATACTTTAAATATTTTTTATTTTTTTTATTTAAATATAATTATTTTAAAATTATTCTTTAAAACATATATATTAATAATTTTTATTTAAAATATAATTTAAATAAAATTAAATCATAAAATATTAATATAAATAAAACTAGTCTTTCTAAAATATTAAATTTAATAAGTTGTAATATAAAATAATTAAATAATATTATTTTTTAAAATATAAATTTCATTTTATAAATTTAGATAAAAAAATAGAAATCTATAAATTTTAATTCTAAATAATTATTTAATGGTATTTTTACCAATAACTTTATTTTAAAAAAATATTTAATAAATTCTTTTAATAGGTATACTCGTGGGTTGGATATCATGATGCTCATGCTTATCCCATTAACAATAAGTTAATTAGAATATTTACTTGTTACTTGCAAATATCATGATTGACTTTATTCGTGGATACAAAATTTACTTTTTATCTTATTTTTAAATAATGTGAAATTTATGAGTCTTGAAATATAATTATCAATCGAAGAAACATAGGATTAGAGTTAGGATTAAGTTTAAAGTTTTGAAACAAGATTTAGTGAGACTCTATTGAATAATTTGTTGACTTAGTATCATACAAATATAAATTTATAAAATTTATAAAAAATAATTATTATCCCTTTTTATTTCTACTAAATCAATTATATATATTTATATAATTATTTTTCACTCTTTTCCTTTAACCTAAATAATTTGATACTTTAATTTATTTTTCTTTTTAATGCTCTATTTTGTTTTATATAAAAAATTAAATAGTATATAAATTTTAATAAATAATAATAATAAATAAACAAATATAAATTTTATTATTATAATAATATTAAAATGAATTGATGGATAAACGATTAAATTAAAGAAGTTGTTGATGATTTCTCATTTTAATTTATTTTGTTTTTACTTTATTGACACATTAAACGGTATCCAAGTAAGATGCAGTTTCAGTAATCAGACAAGAAATCAGGTTAGGTTTATGCTGTCTGGTCATTGCCTTCATGCTAATTGAAAATGTTCAAATCAAGGAACAGTCTCATATAATTAATTAATTAATTATGTTGAAAATTCTAAGGTTAGCAGTTGAATTTTTTTTTCACATATATCAATAATGAATATGTAAGCTTTAATTTTACTGAAAAAGGTTTATTTTCTAAATACATAAAGATAAATATAATATTAATTTATTTAGAAATCAAAGAATTGTTATTCATTAAAAGCAAAAGACATCGATCGATTTGATTTTTTGAAATGGGAAAGAAAATCTAATTTTGTGAAAATTTTATATTGTTATAAAAAATATCACTTTTTATGATTTTTATATAACACTCAACAAACTAATTTCTATTGGATGATCCAAATCACTTTTATTTTAGTTACAAAATCACATTTGATTAAGAGCTTCAAATTAATTTTGAATTGATGTAATATTTACTAATTTTGCATTGCATTTAAATTGTGTACTAAAATTTATCATTAACTTAGTCTTAGAATAAAGACACGAAAATATAAACATTTTACTTCAAAATCTTTTTAACCAAAATGAACTTTGATGAAAATTAATTTTATAAATAATCGTATTAATACAGACTAACCTTACATTGTAATTTATAATTAATAACAATAAAGAAAAACTTTACACTGTTAATTCATCATCATCATTATTATTATTATTATTATTATTATTATTATTATTATTATTATTATTATATAAAGCTTAATAAGACAATGCATTGGAAAAAAATAGTAAAGTATAAAAAAAAAAGAAACTTCAAAAGAAAATAAATAAATTGAAAATAACATTAATTTATGACTTTATTATATATCTGAATATAGCTAGCTAGCTTGCTAGATTCCATTAGAAACTCAATTGAATGTCAAATCATGAATTGGTTTAAAGCCTTGAAAAAGGAGATTTGTAAACAGGAAAAAAAATACTAGAATTTATGTACATGATTTTGAATCGAGTAGAACTAACCTTCTTCAATCCTGGTATGGTGGCAGAAAGTGCAATGAACTTTTCAGTGAGTTCTTGTCTCCTTTTTCTCTCAGCCATGATGTGATCTTGGATCTCAGATGAGCTTCTATGCTTCTTGGGACCTCCTTGTTTGGCCTTTGGTTTGGTGACATGGCCACTTTCTGAGGTCAAAAGTGAAGAACATGGAGCAAAATGGTTAGGGGAATTACCAGTTTCATTAGGTCTATGATGGAGGGAAGGTTTCACAGATGAGTTTTCAAAGGACAAAATGAAGGGGAATGTCGAGGATGGTGCTGAAGAAGCATTGTTAGCAACATCTTGAGAAATGATGGAGGTTGAGCTATTACTCTTGAGCATCTTCCCTTGCCTCTCATCAAAGCTTGCATCTTCGCAGGACAAGCTACTACTTCCCATGGTGGTGCTTGTGGGGGAAAAAACATTGTTACTGTTATTATCATCATTATTATAAAGAAGGAGACTTTGAAATGAGAGATTTGGTGGCCCTAAGAACTCAATCTCATTCAGGAACTTATCTTGATCAAGTGAGTTAATGTAAGATTGACCAATGGATTTGGTCTCACCCATTTCCTATAACAACAACAAAAGTTGGAAAACACCAAATAGAAGAGTCAAAGAAGATAAAAAAGGTGAAAAATTAAGATCTAATGATGATCATGACATTCATACAAGAAAAAAAAGTGTTTTTTTTTTTTTTACCAAAGAAGAAATCCAACTCTCCCACGAGTCTTCCATCCAAAGAAGAGTGGAAGAAGGGAGATATTTTGCTCAATCAAGTCCAAGATCAGTCTTTAAACCTTCGTGAATGGAGACAAGAATCCAACTCGTTATTCATGCGACCTTAATTTCCACCGTTGGATGGAGCATAGTAATATATAAAAAATGGTGCATGGGGATGCAAAACCCTAGTTCCAAAATTAACCTTGTCTTCTTTCAAATTAAGAAACTCAATAATTCAGAGACGGGGCTCACTGTACAAAGGAATAAAAAACACTATCACTACAATAAAAAAACATATCCACCGAAATCAGCGATAGAATTTTTTCGGTCACAATTAGCGATCGATTTAGCGATCAGTTTAATTTTGGTCGCAATTAGTGACCGATTTAGCGATCGATTTAATTCAGTTGCAATTAGCAACCAATTTAGTGACCACTTTAATTCGGTCGCAATTAGCGACCGATTTAGCAACCGAGTTAATTCAGTCGCAATTTAGCGACCGATTTATCCACCAAAATATGATTTGGTTTCACTTTTTTATTTAGCGACCAAAATAGCGACCAATAGTTTGCGTCACAAAATTTCGGTCGCTAAATCGATGGCTATTCCATACTAAAATAAAAAAATCATTTAGCGATCGATTTAACGATCGAATTGAAATCGGTCGCTAATGAATATTATTTTTTTATTATATTTAAATTTATTTTTTTTATAAATATACTTTAATTGTTTTAGTATATTTTTTACAATTTATTTTTTAAAAATAATTTAATTTTTAAAATATACTTTAAAAATAAACTTTGGTCTCAATATTAACAAAATAAAGATTAACTTTAATTTTAAATTACTAAAATAAAAATATTATTAAAAATAAATCAAATTTATTAAAAATTTAAATTGTAATAAATTAATACTAGAGTGATATTAACTATTCAATACATTGTTTAAGAAAAGTTTAATAACAAATATTCTTTAATTTATTTTTCAATTGAAATTAAAATATATTTTAAAAATTTATATTAAAAAAATTAAACACATCAAATTATCACATTTTAATTCCTCATTAACTTAATTAATTAAAAAATTACAATTTTAATCAAATTATTACAATTTTATTTTATAATACTTTATTTTTAATCTAATTTTTAAATTTATTGCTTTATTATTGTTAATTACTTAATCATGGTTGTTGTCATATAATTGATATACCAAAAACAAAATTATATCAATATACATTAGAGAATAAATATATTATTTAATTAAACTATTTATAGAAATATATTTATCTTTAGTTAAAATATTTTTTAGTTTAAGTATACTAATTAATATTTTTCATTTTTAACATAATTAATAAAAAAGATTAAAAATTTAAAATTAATATATTTTATCAATACTAAAAATTAACCATATTTAAATAAATGAAAAATATATTTAAATTTATATTCAACATAGTTAAGGTGGTGCCTTTTTAAAATTTATATTCAACATATACTTAAATTTATATTAAAAATAGTTAATATAAATTAAGGTTGTGCCTTTTTAAAATTTTAACTTTTTCATATATTGGATTTTCATTAAAAAAATTCTAAAATTGCATAAGAAAATAGAGATTTAATTATACTTTTAACAAATTTAAGATAATACTAGTTTTTATTTTTATTTTTAAATATTTATTTTAATTTTTTAAAATAGAGAAACTATAATTTTAGTTTCTAAATACTAAATTTAAAGAATTAAATTTATTATTATTTAATCCTTTAATTTTAGTATTAAAAATTTAAATTATATTTTATTAAATTAAAATAATTACAATATATTTTTTTATTTTGAGAATGAAAAATATAATTAAACTAAAACTGAAAATATTATAATACATTTTTGAACTCTTTTGGATTAATTTTTTTTCCTAATTTTTTATAAAGTCAATTTTAATATTTAAAAGTATTTAACATTTTGAATTCTGAAACGTTTTCTCTATTAGCAAATTTAAAAACATAATATTCAAAAAAATAGTTAATGTAAGTTTTCATTATGATCAATTAAATTTTCAAATGATCGATTATATTTGAAAATATATAATAGCGGTTCCACGTTAACCGCTATCTAAAATATATTTTAGATAGCGGTTAATGTTTAACCGCTATTAGATGTTATCTTTTAAGAGCGGTTCAAGTGGAACCACTATCATATATAACCACATATTTCATTATGATCGATTAAATTTTGAAATAATCGATTATATTCGATAATTTTTTCAAATAATTAATTATAATCGATTAGTTTTTTAAATAATTGATTAGAATTGATTAGTTTTTCAAATAATAGATTATAATTGATTAATTTCTCAAATATATATTCAAAAATTGTAAATAAAAATATAAATTATTTAAGAATATTAATTATTGTAAAGATAAAGTAGAACATGGGATGAGATGAGGATGATAATATAATGATAGAATTTACAAAAATGTAGAATTGAGAAGTTAAAATTTTTTTTTAAGAAAATAGATATTTAATTATACTTTTAATAAATTTAAGATAATACTAGTTTTTATTTTTATTTTTAAATATTTATTTTAATTTTTTAAAACAGAGAAACTATAATTTTAGTTTCTAAATACTAAATTTAAAGAATTAAATTTATTATTATTTAATCTTTTAATTTTAGTATTAAAAATTTAAATTATATTTTATTAAATTAAAATAATTACAATATATTTTTTTACTTTGAGAATGAAAAATATAATTAAACTAAAACTAAAAATATTATAATACATTTTTGAACTCTTTTGGATTAATTTTTTTCCTAATTTTTTATAAAGTCAATTTTAATATTTAAAAGTATTTAACATTTTGAATTCTAAACGTTTTCTCTTTTAGCAAATTTAAAAACATAATATTCAAAAAAATAGTTAGTGTATGTTTTCATTATGATCTATTAAATTTTCAAATGATCGAATATATTTGAAAATATATAATAGCGGTTCCACGTTAACCGCTATCTAAAATATATTTTACATAGCGGTTAATGTTTAACTGCTATTAGATGTTATCTTTTAAGAGCGGTTCAAGTGGAACCGCTATCATATATAACCACATATTTCATCATGATCGATTAAATTTTGAAATAATCGATTATATTCGATAATTTTTTCAAATAATTAATTATAATCGATTAGTTTTTTAAATAATTTGAATAGAATTGATTAGTTTTTCAAATAATAGATTATAATTGATTAATTTCTCAAATATATATAAAAAAATTATAAATAAAAATATAAATTATTTAAGAATATTAATTATTGTAAAGATAAAGTAAAACATGGGATGAGATGAGGATGATAATGTAATGATAGAATTTACAAAAATGTAGAATTGAGAAGTTAAAATAAAAATTTAAGAAAATAGAGATTTAATTATACTTTTAATAAATTTAAGATAATACTAGTTTTTATTATTATTTTTAAATATTTATTTTAATTTTTTAAAATAGAGAAACTATAATTTTAGTTTCTAAATACTAAATTTAAAGAATTAAATTTATTATTATTTAATCTTTTAATTTTAGTATTAAAAATTTAAATTATATTTTATTAAATTAAAATAATTACAATATATTTTTCTACTTTGAGAATGAAAAATATAATTAAACTAAAACTGAAAATATTATAATACATTTTTGAACTCTTTTGGATTAATTTTTTTCCTAATTTTTTATAAAGTCAATTTTAATATTTAAAAGTATTTAACATTTTGAATTCTGAAACGTTTTCTCTATTAGCAAATTTAAAAACATAATATTCAAAAAAATAGTTAATGTATGTTTTCATTATGATCGATTAAATTTTCAAATGATCGATTATATTTGAAAATATATAATAGTGGTTCCACGTTAACCGCTATCTAAAATACATTTTAGATAGCGGTTAACGTGGAACCGCTATTAGATGTTCACTTTTAAGAGCGATTCTACTTGAACCGCTATCATATATAACCACATATTTCATTATGATCGATTAAATTTTCAAATAATCGATTATATTCGATAATGTTTTCAAATAATTAATTATAATCGATTAGTTTTTTAAATAATTTGAATAGAATTGATTAGTTTTTCAAATAATAGATTATAATTGATTAATTTCTCAAATATATATTAAAAAATTATAAATAAAAATATAAATTATTTAAGAATATTAATTATTGTAAAGATAAAGTAGAACATGGGAGGAGATGAGGATGATAATATAATGATAGAATTTACAAAAATGTAGAATTGAGAAGTTTAAATTTTTTTTAAGAAAATAGAGATTTAATTATACTTTTAATAAATTTAAGATAATACTAGTTTTTATTTTTATTTTTAAATATTTATTTTAATTTTTTAAAATAGAGAAACTAGAATTTTAGTTTCTAAATACTAAATTTAAAGAATTAAATTTATTATTATTTAATCTTTTAATTTTAGTATTAAAAATTTAAATTATATTTTATTAAATTAAAATAATTACAATATATTTTTCTACTTTGAGAATTAAAAATATAATTAAACTAAAACTGAAAATATTATAATACATTTTTGAACTCTTTTGGATTAATTGTTTTTCCTAATTTTTTATAAAGTCAATTTTAATATTTAAAACGATTTAACATTTTGAATTCTGAAACGTTTTCTCTATTAGCAAATTTAAAAACATAATATTCAAAAAAATAGTTAATGTATGTTTTCATTATGATCAATTAAATTTTCAAATGATCGATTATATTTGAAAATATATAATAGCGGTTCCATGTTAACCGCTATCTAAAATACATTTTAGATAGCGGTTAACGTGGAACCGCTTATTAGATGTTCACTTTTAAGTGCAGTTCCACCTGAACCGCTATCATATATAACCACATATTTCATTATGATCGATTAAATTTTCAAATAATCGATTATATTTGAAAATATATAATGCATTATAATCGATTATTTTCAAATAATCAATTATATTCGATAATTTTTTCAAATA